ACTACGCCTTTCCTACTTCCTACTTTATGCTGTCTTCACCAGGCTCAGCCACCAAATTTAAGGTAGAGGGAAAGGACTCTGGGCTAAGCCAGCATGGGATGCCTTTGGTGGAAGTGAGGGACTAAATTGAGACCCAGGCCCTCCTGCCCTCCCCCTATAACTATTCCTCCTTTGAGACTTATGCAATTTCTTGTAAGTCTTTTTTCTTTACAAGTTGACTTTAAGAAAAAACACTGCAAAAGACAAAATCCTCTCATCAGTTTTCTTACTTATTTAATAGCCATTTTTGAGTCTCCAAAGGAGAGACTACATAGAACAACTGACTAGCAGGAGAAAATGGCTCCTCTCAAGCTGAAACAGATGGCCCTGAAGGTCAGCCAGGAAGCCTAACTGAGCTCTGAGTCAACTCCTCCTCTCTTCAGGACTGGGGGATTTATTTTGACTGGACAGAACCACATGAATAGTGCCTACCTCCATCAGTACTGCCTCTCTTCAAGATATGGTTGGGGTTGAAAGACCCTAGTTGGCTGCACATGGAGGCAAGTCATGTGCTCAGGGTAGCGTTCTCATCAACAACTTTCTGCAAGCAAGCATGTAACATGAGGGCCTGCTTGTTGCCCAGGCCGCCCAGCTAGCTTAGCCCCAAAATAATCACACAGAAACTGTATTCATTAAAACACTGCTTAGCCCATTATTAGTCCATTATTATTATCTGTGTTAGCCATGTGGCTCAGTACCTTATTCAGCGGGGTAGGTCACATCCTGCTTCCTCCTTCCCAGAATTCTGTTCTCTTTGCTCCGCCTCTACTTCCTGTCTGGTAGTCCTGTCTATACTTCCTGCCTGGCTACTGGCCAATCAGCGTTTATTTAAAACGTAACTGACAGAATACAGAATTGTCCCACACCAAATATGGGAACTACTTGCAAGGGCAATTTTTATGCACATATGCAAAGAACTTCAATTCTGTGTCATAATGTAAAAGTAACGTATGACAGCGTCCAGGAGACAGGTCATCAGACCAATTTAGGGAGTTCCCTATAGTCTACAGCAAAATTAGCACAGAGCCTCAGCATTTCTCTCTAGCCACTGCTTCCCAGCAGGAAACTGGACACATTCCAATCCCTCTCCATAGCTCAAATTCAAACTCTAAAGTAAGCATCAACTGTGTTTCTGGAGAAACTGCATTGGGCAGATGGGGGTTGGGTGGGATAGGTGGTGGTTTTGCTATCCCCTTCTCAGGGCAACTGGCCAATTATAGAGGGCATCCACAATTTGGCAGAAAGGGCTGGCAAGATGGCTTAGCAGATAAACGCACTTGCTATCAGGCTTGAGGACCTTTGTTGTTTCAGTGTTAAACATTTTTTAAGGATTGTGGGTTAGCTCAATGATAAAGCACTTGCCTAGCACGTGTGAGGGCCTGGGTTCAATCCCTAGTACAACAACAAAAAACTAAGTATCTCAGCTAGGTGTGATGGTGCATGTTTTTAATCCCAGCAGAGGCCAGCCTGATCTACACAGCATATTCCAAGCCAGCCAGGACTACACAGCAAGACTCTGTCTCAAAAGCAACAAAAACATTTGCTTTTAGATTTATTAATGTATATGAATATTTTGCAATACATATATGTAAAGAATGCCTGGTGCCAGAGAAAGCCATATAAAAGTGTTGCATCCCTTGGAAATGGAGTTACAGATGGTTGTGAGCACATGCATGTGCACATACACACACACACACACACACACACAATAATTAGCAAAAAGGCAGAAAGTCATGATAGGTTCTTTAGCAGACAAAAGCAGTGTTTAGGAACACTGGTGCTAGAGAAGTACCAAATGATTTAATGAGAGAAAATGGCAAATATGAGACAACAGAAAAAGACCAATCAGGCTAAAATTGGTCTTTAAATATGGGTTGTTTCAGCCCCATTTTCCCCTAGAGTTGTCTGTTGGGCGACCTGGAGACATAAGTCCCATAAATAATGACAAAAGTATCTTTATGTCCCAGGTTTTTAAACGGTGGGTGCTGACCACATACAAGGTCAGATAACTAAAGGTAAGGGTCACAAAAGTTTTCTAAATGTGCAGTCATCAAATGCTAGCTCAGAGTCAAAGGTGAAATGAACCCAAGGCCATGCTGGTCATGCCTACCTGCGATGCACCGTGCGATGTCACTGCGGCCTTGGTTGTGAACAAACATGTATGTACGCCTTGCCCAGTGCATGCAGTCACAGCACACACTAACAACACCGTCTAAAACAGTTCAGCTTAGGCTCAAGACAGACTATGTATTACTATATTACGAAATGCAGTGTTTTGTCGTTTTCAAACTGTTCATAGTTTTCTGTTCTCCCAGTATGTTGGCTAATTTTATATTAACTCGACAAAGGCAAGAGTCATAAGAGGGAACCTCATTTGAGAAAGTGTTTCCCTAAGACTATGCTGTAGGCAGGCCTGTAGGGGATTTTCTTAGTGATTGAGGGGAGGGCCCAGTCTGTCTTAGTTAGGGTTTCTATTGCTATTAAGAGACATCATGACCACACTGACTTTTTTTTTTTCTAATGCTAACTCTTATAGAAGAAAACACGTAAATGGGGCTCTCTTACAGTTTAGTCCATTATCATCATGGTGGGAAGCATGGCAGCAGGCAGGCAGATGTGGAGCTGAAGAAGGAGCTGAGAGTGCTTTATCTTAATCTATAGGCAACAGAAGTGGACTGTGTTCCACACTGGGCATTGCTTGAGACCTCAAAGCCCCACCCCACAATGACACAAGTCCTCAAACAAGGCCACACTTACTCCAACATGGTCACACCTCCTAATAGTGCACTCCGTACAGGCCACACATTTAAACACATGAGTCTACTTATTCCAATTACCACACAGTCTGCTGTGGGTGGGGCCATCCCTGGGTTGGTCCTGGGTTCTACAAGAAAGCAGGCTGAGCAAGCCATGGGGAGCAAGCTGGTAAACAGCACCCTCTGTGGCCTCTGCGTCAGCTCCTGCCTCCAGGTTCCTGTCCTGTTTGAGTTCCTTTCCTGACTTTTTTTCAATGATGGACTGTGGATGTAGAAGCATAAACCCTTTCCTCCCCAACTCGTTTTTGGTCATGGTGTTTCATCATAGCAATAGCACCCAAACTAAGACATCCAGAAACAATGGTTTAATTAGGCCAAGCAGACTTTTAATATTTTCCTACCACTCCTAAGCATATAAATACCAAATTGGTGTATATTTAAAATTGTAGTGTGAGAATGATTTTTAAAATTACTGTTGAAAGGGACTGGAGCTCAATGGTTAAGAGCACTGGTTAAGTGCTCTTCCAGAGGACCTAGGTTCGATTCCCAGACCTCAGATAGTGGCTCAAGACTCAACAGTCTGTAATTCCAGTTCCAGAGGATCTGATACCATCTGGCCTCCAGGGCAACTATGCATGTAGTATATAGACATACCTGTAGACAAAACACCTGTAAACAAAAACATAAAAAATTACTATTTAAAGGGTCTAGTGCTTAAGAGTGAAGGCACAAGGACTTTAGGTCAAATATCCAGCATCCATATAAAAAGTTGGGCATGGCCACATGACCCTATAACCCAGCACTGGGAGGTGGAGACTGGTGTATCCTGAGAACCCAATGACTATCCAGCCTAGCCAGATGACAAGCTCCTGGTTCAGCAAGTGACTGCCTCCAGGATATAAGGTACAGAGTGAAAGAGGAAGACAGTCACACCTGCATATACACATACACACACACACACACACACACACACACACACACAGTGGCATTTCAATTGTATTTTAATAAATAAAGACTGCCTGAAGATCTGAGAGTAAAACAGTCCCACTGATCAGCCTTACAGAGCAGATTATGGTAACACACACCTTTAATCCTAGTAGCCATAATGACACACATCTTTAATCCCTATAGCCACAATAGTTGCCATAGAAACTGGGCGGTACATGCCTTTAATGACAGTGGTGCACGCCTTTAATCCCAGCTCTAGAGAGGATTATAAAACTGGAGGAAACAGCTTTCAACATACAGTCTCACTCTGAGATTCCTGGAGGCAGGATCACTATTTCAGTCTGAGGTCGAGCCAGTGGCAGTCAGCCTTATAGACCAGTGGGACTGTTTTACTCTCAGATATTCAGGCAGTCTCTATTTATTAAATTACAATTGAAATGTCACCACACACACACACACACACACATCATACAACAGACACACATCATACAACAGACACATACATACCCCAAAACAAAAAACCCAGTATGTTGCTGACTTGTTTCTTTTTGGGGGGAGTGTTCAAGACAGGGTTTCTCTGTGTAGCCCTGGCTGTCCTTAAACTCACTCTGTAGACCAGGCTGGCTTAGAACTCAGAGGTCCACTTGCTAGGATTGAAGGCATGTGCCGCCATCACCTGGAGACTTGTGTTTCTTTAAACATCATTACATTTTGGTTTAGGAACAGAACAGAATTTCCAACAATTTCTGAAACAACCATTAACATGTTCCTGCTATTCTGTACTGCACATATTTATGTAGTATTTTCAGCATTGGTGATCACAAGAAAATATCAATTAACTATGAAAAATTGAAGATGCTCAGGATCTTACTGTATCAAGTATTCAACCAAGATTTAATTTTTGGCTTTTTGTTTTGGGGCTGGAGCCTCACATAGTCCAACCTGGCCTCAAACTTTCTATGTACACACCTTTAATCCCAGCACTCAGGAGGCAGAGGCAGGCGGATCTCTGTGAGTTGAGGGCAGCCTTGTCTACACAGCGAGTTCCAGAACAGTCAGGACTACATAGAGAGATGCTGTCTAAAAAACAAAAACAAAAATAAAAACTGGGCAGTGATGGTGTGTGCCTTTAATCTCAGCACTCAGGAAGCAGAGGCAGGTAGATCTCTGAGTTTGAGGCCAGCCTGGTCTACAGATCGAGTTCTATGACAGTCAAGAAAACAGAGAAATCCTATCTAACAAATTAAAACAAAAACAACCTTTTAAAAATATTTATTAACTTTGTGTGTGCACATGGGTACAAATGTGCCATGGTGTGAATATGGAGGTCAGAGAACAATCTGTGAAAATCAAGTCTCCCCTTTCACAATGTGGGTTCCAGGTTTTGAATGGGTCAGCAGGCTTGGTGTGTGTGTGTGTGTCTATCTATATGCATGAGTGTCAGGGAACTGTGTGAGACAGTACAATCTCTGTTATTGGACCTCTACTTTGTACCAGGTTATCTCTGCTGTTTGTGGTTGCATACACCTGGCTAGTTGACTTCTGGGAAATTTTGTCCCCACTTCCCATCTCCCACTGCTAGAATTACAATGCATGCCACCATACCTAGCTTCATGCAGATTCTTGGGATTTAAATTTGGTCCTCACTTGTAACAAGCTCTTGCTGTCTCCTTAGCTCAACACTTCTTTCTGCCTTTATCCCTCAAGTGCTTGGATTATGGGGGTGTGCCACCACACCTGGTTAATTCAGTGATGAGGATGTGACCCAGAGTTTCATCCATGCTAGGCGAGCATTCTACCAACTGAGCTACTGTCAGTTCCAACCCAAGAATTTTTTTTTTTCTTTTTCGAGACAGGGTTCCATAATCCTGGTTGACTGTCTTGGAACTCTCTTTGTAGACCAATCTGGCTTCAAATTTATAAAGATCCACCTGTCTCTGTCTTCTGAGAGCTAGTATTAATAGCGTGCACCACTACTCTTGGCTCAATTTATTTATTTACTTATTGGTTTTTTGAGACAGGGTTTCTCTGTAGCTTTGAGTCTGTCCTGGAACAGCTCTTGTAGCCCAGGCTGGCCTAGAACTCACAGAGATCTGCCTGCCTCTGTCTACCGAGTGCTGGGATTAAAGGCGTGAGCCACCACCGCCCGGCAAATTCTATTTTTCTATGTGTGCAAATATTCACTGTTCATTTACTCATCTGTGCACATGTGAAGGTCAGAAAACAATTCTCAGGAGTCGGTTCTCACCCTCCACCTTTCTGAGGCCAGGTCTCTTGCCTCTTCTCTGCCATACTGCATTGTTCAGGCTGACTGGTCCTGGAGCTTCCAGATGGTTCTTCTATCTCTGCTTCCCTTGAGGTAGGAGTACTGGGATTATAGATTCAAATTACCAAACCTGGATTTTTTTCTTTTTAATTTGGGTGTTTTGCCTGCATGTATGTCTATATACCACCTGAAGAGGCCAGAAAAGGGCATTCCATCTTCAGCGGTCCCCTGGGACTAGAGATGCCATGTGGGTGCTGGAAATCGAACCCAGATCCTCTGAAAAGGCAGTCAACACTCTTGACCACTGAGCCATCTCTCCAGCACTCTGCCTTTTTTTCCTAGACACAGATTCCTGGGGTTCACACTTGGTTAGGCATGTACAGCTAACACTTTACCTGCTGAGCCAACTCCCCAGTCCTCACTTGTTTATCATACAAAAATTATGCATGTAATTTGAAAAATTCAGAATATAAAAGTATATAAAGTAAATTAAAACTTCTTTCTTCAAAGTGAAGCAGAGTCAGTGGTAGGGTCTGGATCCTTTGGTGGTTTCCGGAACTTGCTCTGAAGGAAAACTCGAGGCACACACAAGCCTTCTTTTCTATTCACTGTCTCTCGGAACACATACTCGTTCACCACTTCCTCATAACCTGCATCTGCAAAGAGCTGCGCCAGGAACTCTAGAAGGCAAGCAATGGTGAGCTCTGAGGGTGAGGACTGAGACAGGCTGTAAGATTGTCTGTTGTTTTTCCTGTAAAGCAAACTTCAATGCTAAATTTTATTTCATATATCGTTAAACTTTTCTTCTTTCCCCTGCTGAGACAGAATTTTACTTTACATCTCTGGCTGGCCTGGCATTTTTAATGCTTCTGCCTCAGCTTCCCCAGTGCTTGGTACACAGGCCTGTGCCAGCATGCCAGGCTTTCTTTCTTTTCCTTCATTCTTTTTTTTTTTTTTTTAAAAAAAAAAGCAAAAACAAAAACCACATCCCTACTTCTCATGGTAGGGCCAGCACTCTAGCAACTGAGTTATATTCCAAGGATTCTTTGGTAGCAAATTTGTCTATTTAAAAACAGATCCAATCACTTTTATTCAAGAAAAATTTTGCCTCTAGTCTGGGAAATTAGCCTCAGTTACCATGCTATCTTAAGGTTCTTCCTATTGGCCCTATGTGACATGTCTGAGGCCTGTCTGCTCTCCCAGGCTCACTCATTAGCCACCATCAGCAGAGGCCAGAGCTGGGGTAGTCTCCGTAGGCTCTGGGAGGTGGTGTGCAGCAGGGTTTATTCTAAGGATCTGGGACTTGTGTTAGCATGGCCACATTGCACTTCACTGATGTGGAGTCAAATAAACAGAGACACAGTCTGAAAAACTAAGGAAATACTCCATTCCTCTTACCATCAGTAAAAAAATAGGACCTGGTTCCATCTTGTCTGACATAAAAATTTTCTCCAAGTTTGCTTCCAGCTTTAAATCTAAGCATCGCATGATCATGCAGCCCGTAGTCACGGAACAAGACACTTCTGCCTGGTTTTAATACCTACAAAAGTAAAGCAGGTTGCAAATAACTCAGAGAAACCCAGTCAAATAAAATACAATCTGATGACGTTAGGTATTAAAACACAGACCTGTGGTAGTTATGAAAGAAAGCATATAAAATACCTTAATATGAATGGTTGCTTTTAAAAAAACTTGTCAGGTGTAGTACACACCTGTAATCCCAGCACTCAACAAGGCTGAGACAAGAGTACCATTCTGAGTTTGAGGCCAACCTGTCCTACCTACTGAGTACCTGGCCCACCAGGGATACATAGCAAGGTGACAGGTGTGCCAAGACCCACAGCAGCTCGCTGTGCACAGAGCACTTGCTTTAAAATGACAGATGACACGTTTGGTGGCGGTGTTGTCCTTTGGAAAGTGTATGCTGGCACAATTGCAGTCATGTCTTCCCCAGCCTTCCTCCTAGTTTTTTGAGATGGGTCTTGTTACATATGTAGCCTTGGCTGGCCTACTAACTCATTACTATGTAGCCTAGGCTGATCTTGAACTTGTAGAAATTCTCCTGCCTTAGCTTCTTGGGTGCTGTGATTATAGGTGTGTGTCATACCAATGGTACAAAAACAAACAAACAAAAAAACATCTGAAGCCGGGTGGTGGTGGTGCACGCCTTTAATCCCAGCACTCGTGAGGCAGAGGCAGGAGGATCTCTATGAGTTGAGGCCAGCCTGGTCTACAAGAGCTAGTTCCAGGGCAGGCAACAAAGTGACACAGAGAAACCCTGTCTCAAAAAACAAAACAAAACAAAACAACAACAGAAAAAAACTGAAAAATCTCATTCACAGTTGACTCAATCTTCACTTCAGAAGGAAGAAAAGGCTTCATGAGGCAGTGAGAAGGACGCTCCTGGATTCAGCTGGGCATCTGCCCCACATCCCAGTTTCCCCATCACTCGCTGAGTCGCCCTGAGCAAGTCTGTCAGACAGTCACTGCGACACCAGTGCCTTCTTTGCTCACAGTACTGTGTAGTTCTGCACACATTCCCCAGTGGCATGTCTTGTCCCTCCTACAAGGCCCCAAGGCAGCAGTTAGGCCATTACTAGGCCTACTTTTCAGGAAGGCCCGGAACAAAAGTGAGTTTCTTGTTGAGGTTTTAAGGGCAAGTCAGGGGTATAATGGAGACACAAGCTCAAGTGTTCTCACCACAGACCATCATTCTGTTTAGGAAATGAAGAAATTCAACTTCTTGGTTGCTTTTCAAATTAAATTCTGTGACTTAAGCAGCCTGCCTGGTGTGAGCCCTAGAGTAATGAGATCTATGGTGGGAAGTTTATGCCCTGGACTGTTCACACTGGATGTCCCCCAGGCTGCTGGTGTCCTGTCAGCAGAGCCTGAAGATGGTTTCTTTCTCTAGTACTTTCCCAACAACATACAATTTTAAATCAATCAGCCAATCACCATAATGACCAGTATGAGAGTAATCGAACTGGGCTAGAAAGTCATTGTGGCTCAGCTGAGAAAAAGATCTCTAATGGAGACTAAAAATGGGAAGCATACTAAAATGGAATTTGTCACTAAAGGAAATTGTGCCTTGAGACAGCTCAAAAATTTTTTACAAATATGACATGTCATACCTACTAAAATATTGATGACGTACTATTTATTTTGATAAAAAGTTTAGAAGAGGCTGATCTGTGAGGACAGAGCTGGGGTGTTGGGAACCTCAGAGATGTTGGAGGTCAGTATCTGGGTGGTTTACTCATTGTAAGCATGAGCAAAGGCCCCTAATTGTACACTTAGGATTGGGGCACTTATCTCATGAATACTAAGGCTTAGGACAGTGTAAAGCATGGACAATACACGCAAGCTGTGAATTCTAAGTTGAATCTGCTGCTCTAAATGCTAGATGACCACCAATGGAGCATTACTTGCCCATAGGTTCCTCGCCCCCTTCTGCCTTCTAACCACCAAAAGAAATTCTTTACCTAGAGTCCATAGGTCCAAAAGGCATAAAGTCAGAACTCAGAGGGCTGCAAACTTCAAGTGGAAAAATCAAGATACATCTTTACTTTTACTGCTTTTCATGGGAATGCAGCATTTCTTTAATTACGAAAGCTATGTACTACATTATTAATTTGGAGGGTAACTAACAAAAATCATAAATATTCTTGTATCATGGCAATTCTTTTAGACAGGGTTTCCTGATGTAGCCTGTCCCTTTAAGAGACAAGCCCCGCCTACTCCTGTTTTTTTTCTGTTATTCTTTGCTTCTCCCCCACCCCCCTTCCCTCACCTCTACCCTTCTCTCAATAAATTCCACATTCAAGTTCTGTCTATATGGCGTATTTGTCTCCCACCTGTGGCCCTCACCTGCCATGGGATCAACCAAGGTCCCAACTCATGCTGTATTCATAACAGCAATGACATATGAACATGACTAAGATGCCTAAAATTACTACATAAAGCCAAACATTTCACCAGCACAGTGGCACATGAGTATAATCCCCATAGTCAGGAGGTAGAACTAGGAGCGCTGCTCAAAGTTTGAGGCTAACCTGGTCTATGTGTGAAGTTCCAGGTCAGAAAGAGGTATGTAACAAGACCTGTTTTAGTTGGAAAAAAATTTATAGCTCAATAAAAATACACACACAAGATCCTGTTTCAAAAAACTTTTCTTTTTAAGTTGGACAATTTGAAAAGAGTTGATATAGAAATGCTGATCAAGCTGTTTTTAGTTAGCTGTGGGCCTCTGCTATGAAGTCTGGGTCAAAATACAACCTGCCCTCAGATATTTTCTAATTATTTTTAAATTCTTCTACTTTTTTGTTGTTGTTTTGTTTGTTTTGTTTTTCGAGACAGGGTTTCTCTGTAGTTTTGGAGCCTGTCCTGGAACTAGCTCTTGTAGACCAGGCTGGCCTCAAACTCACAAAGATCTGCCTGCCTCTGCCTTATGAGTGCTAGGATTAAAGGTGAGCGCCACCACCGCCCGGCTCCTCTTCTACTTTTTAATTCAGTGTTTGAAGCAGGGCCTCTCACATGCCAGGTAAGGGCTGAGATATACCTTCAAGTCCCTCACTCCCCTATTAAAGAACCACAGCCTATTGTGTGCATTCATGTAAGAGAATCTAAGTCTCATACTCACAATAAGGACTACTGAGAGCTATAAAAAATAAGTGCTCAGGCTTTTACATTAAAACTTCTTTTTGTGTAAGTACATGTGTGTTTTGTCTTACCATGTAGCTCAGGCTGGTGTTAAATTTAGAATTCTCCTGCTGTAGCCTCCTGAGATTGAAATCACAAGATGTGCCACCAAGTCCATCAGAATTTACCATTGTAAAGGTTTGATTTCACTGATTCTTAAGGGCCGACCGACACGGTGACTATGGTGTCTATAGGAATCCTTCACTGTGGTTCTCCAAAGCAGTGATATCACTCATTTACATTCTCAGCTTTAGCACTAAGAGGAAACTGAGGCTCACAGACAGGTGTCATAGCTTGTCTTGAATCATGTAAAGCTTCTTTTGGTTGTTGTTCTTGTTGTTTTAGAGACATAGTGTAAAATAACCCAGGCTAGCTTCAAATTTGCTTTACAGATGAGAATGATCTTGAACTCTTGACATTCCTGAGGCTGATGGTGTATGTTGGCATGCTGGCTTCTTTTCAGAGAAAGTTTATAGCTCAGGCTGGCCTTGAACTCATGGCAATCCTCTTACCTCAGTCCCAAGTCCAAGGATTACAGGCATGCTATAACAGCCTCCTGTTGGCCACAGCAGTTTTGAGGAGCACTTAGCAGAGCGCAGGCATTGTGCTGGGCACACGCCATGTATCTTATTCAATCTTTCTCAACTGCTACCATCTCAGAAGCATTATTTTTTCCCAATATTTTTCCCAATATTTTTCAGGCATAGAAACAGGTTTGGAGAGGTGAAGGAACCTGCCTAAGTAGTGAACCAGCTTAGAATCTAGGCTTTTAGTGACTGTACTCTCCACTCAATCACATGCCCTCTCACCTTATGGATTCCAGGTAACTTTCTTATTCTGGAGCTGGCCATGCTCTGAAGTGCAGTCATGGCACTACACAAACCCAGACCTACAGTGGCTTCTCTATGCCAGAGAGTCCTTCCCTTAGACTGGCTATAGTCAACCCATTGAAAATGGGAAGATGCTGGGGCTACAGCAAGGAAGCCAGGGTGGCCAACCTTCAAGTACAGACATCAATCACTAACCTTGTACACATTTAGTAAGACAAGGTGCATCTTCTCAGGGTGAACAGCCGAGAGCACAAAGATCAGTGTAACGGCATCCACAGACTCTGGTGGGATATGGTCAAGAAGGTCATCTTTAGTGAGGTCACACTGGAACACTTTGCATCTCTCTGTATTATATAAGGGATTTTGCTGGAGAGGGGAAAACAGAAAGAACTAAGGATTTTAATTAACCACCCTGCTGATTTATGTATGAACATGTAGCACTGAAGAAAGATCCTGTTTCTACTTGTTTACTGCTACACAGAATGGTCACTTGCTACTGGGGAAGTAATATTTGACACTGCTACAGGGAACAAAGTAGTATTTCGGCAAAATGTTTTTAACTGAGGGCAGAATATAGTCTATCACTTAGTTAAAACCAGGCATCTCAGAGGCCTGCTTCTCTAGATAAAAGACTAACGATCCTAACCTAGTATACTTTCTAACGAGTACACTCCTGGCACAGTTGATTGATAGGCTCCAGCACATATATGAGTATTATAAAGGAAGGGAATAAGCTTTTTTATCATGTAAACAGGGACCTGAATAAATTAACATGTAAAGTTACTGGGTGAGAATATTTAATATTAAAAAAAAGGATTCACTTATTTTCATTTATGTTTCTGTATGTACAGGTGAGTACAGGTGCCCTTGGAGGCCAGATGGCACTGAATCCACTGGAAGTGGAGTTACAGTTGTTGTACCCAGATTACGACCTCCAGAGAGACCACTAGAAATCATAGAAGACCAGACTGCAAAAAGCAAGGTTTTATTGCGAGCTAGCTTGGAACCCCCGTCTCCAACACCCTGTCGCAGTGAGGTAGAGAGAGGAGTTAAGTGATCCTTTGTGGGGTTAGCATTTTCAAAGGCAAAAATAACAAGCAGCCCTTCTGGGAAGTTAGGGGGGGGGTTTGGCATGGGTGCAAGGTCTTTGCTTTCTCTCCTATCCATTTAGTCAGCTTGTTCTTTGTTTTCAGAGCAAGGCCACCCTGCCCCTGAGTCAGGACATCTTTGTCAGCCTCCACCAGGTAGTTGGGTCCTCATGCTTTGGAATTTCCCAAGTGTGTGTGGAGGGGGGTGGGGGAGGCCACTTTCTGGGAACATGAAGCTAGTCTGGGGTTTCTAATTTTAAAACATTCTGCTAGGAAATTCCTTCTCGTCCCTTTGAGAATAAGGGATGAGGGTCTCACTCAGTCAGTTATTAGCCACCAGATGAGGGTGCTGGGATTCAAACCCAGGTTCTCTATGAGAGCAGTAAGCACTTCAAACTACTGAACTGAATCTTCTGTCCTGCGAAAGGCAATTTTTTTTTCCTCTTTGAAATAGGGTTTCTCTGTGTAGCCCTGGCTGTCCTGGAACTAACTCTGTAGGACCACTCTGTCCTTAAACTCAGAGACCCGCCTACCTCTGCTTCCCGAGTGCTGGGATTAAAGGTGTGTGCGACTATCATCCGACACAAAAGTCACTTTTTAAATGAATAAACTAGATATTCAGAGTGACTGTCTTCCAAGCCAAGCAACTGCTATCTTGGAGAGTTCAGCTGTGCACCCTTGCAAAAGGATTCTCCCAGTAAGTTAATAAATACATGTAGAAGAAAGGAGTTCATGGCAGAAGAAAAGGCATATGTATTTGCATATTTCAATCTTCAATATCTCTGGTAATAAGAAAAATAAAATACTGAGACATTATTTTTCTCAATGATTGGCAAAATCAAAAAATATTGAGGAAACAGAGGAAAGAGTGCCTTTTATATAAATTATAAACTGACAGCTGGGCAGTAGTGGCACATGCCTTTAATCCCATCAGAGGCAGGAAGATCTCTGAGTTTGAGGCCAGCCTGGTTTACAGAGTGAGTTCCAGGACAGCCAGAGCTACACAGAAAAACACTGTCTTGAAACCACCACCCCACAAAAATACACACACACACACACACACACACACACACACACACACACACAGCATAACGTTTTAAAAAGGAAACGTGATACTATCTATTAAAATTTAAATATTCACACTTTTCTTCTGAGGGATTTTATTTTCTCCAGTATTTGTCACAGAGGACTGCGCATATGAGTTTTGAGAAGCACATGCGCTATACTGGTCAAATTAACCTGATTTATAAATGCAAACAATCAGAGACAAATCTATAAAGCAACAGATATGAATGAAGTACAAAGGCACTGTGCAGTATTTTTCTTGCTTTGCTTTGAATCAAAATGTTTCCATACATACATTCAAAGAAAATGACAGGCATGGCGATCACAGCTGCTAAGTGCTATAAAAGGACTGGAATTAGACAAATGGACTAAGGACAGAAACAACAGAATAATATATGGCGCACCAACCTTAACATAGTCAACTGCCCTTGGAGAAAAGTCACAGGCATAGGCAAAGATATTCACATCTTCTTCTAATAGTGGGAATAAACAGTTCCCAACTCCACATCCAGCTTCCAACAAAACCAATTTTTGACCTTCATACTGAGGAATGAAAACACAAAACACGATAGGACATTAAACACACCAAGCTAAAAGGTTTAGCAGGCAAGAGACAACATCTCTAACCTCATGAAGCAGATAACAAGCAACAGAACCAGTAAGGATAAGCTAATACTGGTACCTCACTTATAATGACCTCAACCCAGGCAGTTTAGTATGAAGAACAACTACAAGAATTAAACCAGCATGAGCACAGTGCGGACACTCTGAGGCTAGCCTTCTGCCTCAAATCCCAACTCTTCTTTGCCTCTGTACTCAGTCCTCGGGCAACTATTTCTACAGCTTTGAGCCTCCAAATTTTTCTACAAATGAGAATACTAATGGGCTTCAAAGATCTGCTATAAAGCTTAAATAGGAGAATGTATGTAAAATTCTTAGAAATGGTTGATCGCTACTATTAACTACTATAAGTAGCCTCAATCTGTTGCTAAAGTTTACTCTGAATATTTAATATTTCCAACTTTCAGATTAGCTTTAAGTAAGCAGAAGATAACATTAAGAGGCTGCAGAGATGGCTCTGTGGTTAAGAGCACGTGCTGCTTCTCCAGAGGAGCCAGGTTCAATTGTCTGCATCCATATGGCAACTTACAAATGCCTGTAATTCCAGCTCCAGTGGATCTGATGCCCTCTAGAGCTTTCTGACCTCCACAGGCATCAGATACGCATGTGTGCACAAACATACATGCAGGTAAAACACACACATAAGATAATAAAAATAAACTAATCTAAAAAGAAAACCTTAAAAGTTCTTTCCTACTAAACATCACCAAAATTGCTAAAATTACTTGAAACCAAACAGAACGCTCCTTCACAAACAGGATAGGATAAATCTTCTTTAGGATAGTTCAGTCAGTAAAGCGCTTGCCACATCATGACAAGGGCCTGAGTTCAAGTCCTGGCATTCACATAAAAAGCTAGTCACAGTGACACATGCTTGGAATCCCAGTGCTAGGAAGGCTCCCTGCAGCTTACCGGCCATCTAGCCCAAGCTAATCTGTGTGTCCCAGGTCCTAGTGAGAGATGCTGTTTCAAAAAACACGGTAGACAGCTTCTGAGAAATGACAGCCAAGGTTCACATCTGGGAGCACGTACTCTATACTCGCATTCCAGATGAAGATGGCTCAGGGCCAGCAGAAACCCCAGCCTACCTCCCTACATGATCTCAGCTCCTCAAACTCTCTGGTGGTCCAGTGTCTGTCCTTGAAAAAATTGGTACTGTTTCTTTTGTAAAAAAGGTCCCAATTCTTCTGAGCCTCTTTTTCCAGTTTTTGCTGTTTAAAATCAGACACCAAAGCTCGGTCTCTTTGCAGCTTGTCCTCTTCTTCTGAACTAAGAATCCTTGCTTGCAGACTTTGTCTTTGGAAAGAAGCCATTGCAGCTGGTGGGAACACATTCAACGCTGCTAAAGATTCTCTGGTTTTTGACCGGACGAGCACTCGGAGCTGATACTACAGACACTGGGTTTTCCCAGGTGCATTTTCTCCAGGTGACTTTCAAGCTTCAGCAGCCTACGATGCTACTTAGGAAAAAGATTCTGGTTAGTGATTCTGTAATAGCCTGCCCACTCCATCCCCACTCCTGTGTTTCTGTTAGCCAGGGTCTAGTTATGGAAAGTTGGCCATGAATTCCCTATGGAAGAAGCCCAGGCTGTCACTTGAATGTACAGCCTCCTGCCTCAGCCTTCCATGTGCTGGGATTGTGGGTGTACCGACTCACCAAGCTAGAGCATTCTTTAGAACTTCTAGGGTTTGGGTTCTAAAATAGTCCAAGACTCTGGGGGAGAGGTTCCTGACGAGCTCTTTAAGGCGCCGGCTCGATTCACCAAACACTCACCAGATGCTGACCCTACCCAACTGCCCTGCCGGGGATGGGAGAGGTCACGGAGAGGTCACAAAGCCCAAGTCCGCCTCTACTGCACAAAGAGACGACTCTCTACATTCAGAGAGCAGAACTCTCACGTAGCGGACTCCGGTTCAAACCAGATGAGTCAAATACTACAAGAAATAGATTCGGTTGGGGCAAAGGAACGCTTCCACGAATTGACTGAGTACATGTGAGAAGAAAACTCTCATCAACGTTCAGTGCCAAAGAAAATGAGACTTTAAAACGACAGCAGCAGCCCGAACTGAAAGCGGGAAGACTATTGCCAGATAAAAGAGGAATCACGGTTCGTTGGGACCGTAGCTTCATGTTTTCGGAGGTGATGTAGCTAATCCGGAGAGGACGGAGTTTCTGATCTAAAAAGGCTACACCACCAACCGAAGGAAGCGTGCCGGCCAAGAACTGAAACCCTCACACCGCAGCCATGGAGCGGAGTAGGAAGGACCGAGGGACGGGTCGCTGAGTTCCCAGATCCGTCATCTCTCTCGGGACCCTCAGGATAAACCAGGCCGCAAGGGTCTCGGGCACGTCTGCGGTCGTCGGAATCAACGCTCAGCCTCGCATGCACCCAGTCCCCCCGCTCGGGGCGCCCGGCCATCAGTTCACAGGGTTACCTGCCTGTCTGTCGAATCTTCCAACTGAGGTGTTAACCTCCTGAGACGAGAGCAGCTACTGCCCAGGAGCGTTCATTGAAGTTCTCTCAGTCCATGGCACTCCCCCCGCTATTTCCGCTGGGAAACAGGAAGTCCCTCCCCGCTACCGGAAGTGCAGCGGCAGTACTTCCTCAGAGTCTCTCTAGACGCGGTGGAGACTGGTTTCCGGCCCCCGGTGGGCGCGGACTTGGCTCAGTGCGCGTTCCGGAGCTGTGTCCCGGGAGCGAGGTCCTGCGGACCGCTTGCGCGGGGATCTGGGACTGCGGCCGCGCGAGGAGAGCGCCGATCCCGGTGCCAGCCGGTTGCAAGGCCATGAACGGCACGGCGAACCCGCTGCTGGATCGCGAGGAGCACTGCCTGCGGCTGGGGGAGAGCTTCGAGAAACGACCGCGGGCCTCCTTCCACACTATTCGCTGTAAGTGAGCCCTCCCCGTATTCCCTTCGGCCTCTCTGACCACCACGTGCCAGCTCCGACGCCCTCCTGGCCAACCTCGGCTCTCCAAAGCGTCACTTTTCTTATCTCTCAACCCAGATCCTTTGGGACTTCGATCTGTTCTTTTATTTTCAGATGACTCCTCTAAAACCAAATCTCTGACTGCTGCCAACTAACTTCCTTTACCGTACAGTCCTTAAGCCAAAGTTTACTCCTTTGGAACGAGGCCCCTTTCTTTTCCTTGTGTCCCCTTTGTCGAGTTACTCCATCAGGACTGACGCCCTGGAAAAGACTTCTCGTTTGCCACGAGCGTCATTTACTCCCTTCTACTCCATTCTTTTCCTTTTCCCTTGGGGCTCTTGGTCCCCATCCACATCTAGGGAATCTGCATTCTTTGTAGCACCCATGAGATTTTTCTCTTCCTCTTTCTGTGCTTCTTTTGACACCTTTTGTTGTTGGTTGAGACTGTCTTAATGTAGGCTCTGCTGGCCTCGAACTCACTGTATATCTCAGGCCAGTCCTGAACATGCTGCAGGCCTGCCTCAGTCTCTGTAGTGCTGAAATTATGGCCCTGACCTACCATGCCTATCTGACATTAATGTCTTCAAGTCACCTACACCACCCTATGGGCCAACTCACTTGTGGGGGAAGAATAAAATTCGAGTTTGTGGGCCTGGCATAAGTTAAAGCTTGATCTATGTTTGGAAAATGAAGACAGCAGCATAAGGAATATGGAAATGGTCATTATGTTGGGCCTTTTCCTACATGATTATAGACTCTGAGAGGGCTACTTCCACTGTGTCCTGAGTAAAGATTTGGCTGACCGAGCACACCCCTCTCTGATTCACAGGCTTCTGGTTTCCGGTAGCGTTAACACCAGTTAAGACATGCTCCGTCACGGGAGCTAATAGATGTGACTCAACACATAGGAAGGGGGTGTGTGGCGTGTTAGATATAAAAGTCTCATCTTTGTGTGGCCCCTTGTCATGCTGTTTCTGTGCTTCCCACTGACAGCAGAGCCAGCTGTTTGAACGAAGCAGTACTGGGGAAGTGATAAGACTATCATTTTTTTTCCCCTCTCCACTGAGGGGCAGGATGATAAGTGAGAATCTGCACATTTGTGCCTGGCCTGAAGTTTGAGGCAGGTGTGTGGTAATAGGAAGTAAAATGGCTCTTCCGATTGTGTCATTTGTAAGAATAAGCAAGATAACTTCTGGAGTTCGCCCGTCTGCTTCTGAGTATATCCAGAAGTATCTTTTTCAAAATGAGAGAGCTTGAGTGTAGCAGGTTCTGCTTTTGACCGTTTCTGTGCAGAAAGAAGTCAGCCTCGTGTGGCCTCTGTGTCTCATGTAGATTTGCAGCCAGAATGTTTGCTCTGTGGCTTCTGTGCACACAGTTCTAATAATGCCCTTATTATGGAAGACAGATGTTAGCTGTTAGTTGTCTCTTGGAATATGGGGATATCTTGCATACACACATAAGGGTGTATGAGTTCCAGCTCCCTGCACTAAAATAATAGTGTTGTTGAAGGCAACATATGTAGAGGTAGGTGTTCCTGAGTTGGTAATTATTGAATTGGATGGCGGTATTTTTGGGCTCATTGTTCTAGTCTCTATACTTTAGCATATATAAAGTTTTCTATGATGTAATTTTTCTTTTCTTTTTCCTTTTTTTTTTAAGAATTTTAAATGATGGGGCTGGGCAGTTGGTTTAGTTTATGAAATGCTTACCATGAACGGATGGGTGTCTGATTTGGATTTCTAGAACCCCCATAAAAGTGCCACAGTGTGGTAGTTAACAGCTGTCGTCCAGTGCTGGGGATATCGAGACAGAAGGATCACAGGAGACTCGCTGGCCTCACTTACTCAGTGAGTTCCAGGCCAATGAGAGACCCTGTCTCAGAACAAGACAACCCGTGCAGCGGTGGTGCACGCCTTTAATCCTAGCCCTCAGGAGGCAGAGGCAGTCAGATCTCTGTGAGTTCAGGACCAGCCTGGTCTCCAGAGCAACTTCAGGACAGCCAGGGCTACTCAGAGAAACCCTGCCTTGAAAAACCAAAACCAAACAAACAAATAAACAACCCCCCCCCAATAACAACAACAAAAAGATTAACAGTACCTGAGAGACTAAAATCCTACAGCTATATGTACCCATGTACATACAGGGACATACATACATGAAAGAATCCTCAACAATTTTTATTTAAGTAATACAATTTTTAAGTTGTATTAAATTGTATAAAATTAAAATGCCCCAAAAGTCCTTATATTCAGTCCCCCAATAGGAACTATTCTTTCTTTCCTTTAGATGATTTTAAGCCAGCATCGATAGACACTTCCTGTGAAGGAGAGCTCCAGGTTGGCAAAGGAGATGAAGTCACAATCACACTGCCACACATTCCTGTGAGTTGTTTCCATCGTTGACTTAGCAAATCCTTGTATTTTATTTAGTTTGAATTTCCTTCTGTTTATTTATTTATTTAGATTTTTAAAAAGTCAATGTAAGTAAAATTGGAATTTAGGGCTTGGGTGGGTAGTAACTCATGTGTCATGGGATTTGGTTTAAGGTAGCTCTTTGCCCTTGTTCCTGAGCCCCCCTCTCCCAAACATGCAGTACAGTAGGTAGGTTTCTATCTGGACAGTGGCCCCTCTGCTAGACATACATAGAGTTTCTCCTATACTGTTCTGGAGAGAAAGGCTCCATGTGCCATGTGTAACCATAGCAACTTCTGAACACCAGGCAGCCAGAAGGCAGGTAGGAGCCAGAGGGCCATCTTTATATATGTTAAGGGTCCCATGCAGGCTGATGGTCCCAGGCAGGAAGTAAAGGTTTGGAACATTGCTAATTTAAGGCTGAAGAACTCAGTTAAAAGCTGCACCAGGGACTCAGAAGGAAAGATTTTGTAAAGTGCTCTTCAGGGCAGCACTTTGGGTCTGTAGCTGTAGCTCAGTGGTAGAGGACTTGCTTTGCTTGATGAGGTTCTAGGTTCAATCCCCAGCCAAAGGAAAAGCAGAAAGAAAACCGTAACAGAAGTGTGTGTTAACAGTGCTTTGGCCTGGGGAGTTGGCCCAGAATAAAGGGCACAAACATGAGAACTGGAGTTGGGTCCTCAGAATCCATGTAGAAAGCATGGCAAACATGGCAGCTGCCTGTGGTCCCATATTTACAGAAGTAGGGACAGATATCCCTGGGGCATGGTGGCTAGCTCGACTTAGTGGGGTTCAGCAAGAGACCCTGCCTCAGCAAAGAAAAGTGTAGAGCAGTTGAGGAAAGTACCTGATGTCAACTTTGAGCCTCCAGGGGTTGTATGCACACGTGCACACACATCTGCCCCCACAGAAGGAAACAAGCACACATGCAAGTACACTGCACACTCATGCAAACAAACAAGTTAAAATAGAAGAGGTTCTTAGCACATTCTGCAGCTCTGTCCTCAAATACAGTAGGCTCTGTGTAACTGGTGACAGAACGGCCTGTAAACCTCTGAGCTGAGGAAAAACAACGGTCTGTTCATGCAAACTCCTCTTTTCTTGCATGTTACCTGTGGCAGCTTACATCATCTCCCATTGGACCTTAGTTTCCCAAATGAAAAATGAAGGGGTTGGGTAAATGGTCCCTAAGCTCCCTTTCAAACCTAAATTTTTATTGCAAAAATAAGGGGTTGAAGAGCCAAGCATTTTTTTTTTTTTCCTAAGCAAGAAATTAAATCTTATGTCTGACAAAATAGTGAATGGATGTTCAGTGTACTAGCCTACTCCTACGCTCTAGGAATTGAACCTTAAACAAGTAAATTTCTTGCCTTTGTGCAGCTTAGGGTCCAGAATTAAATATGGGAACATATAGGCATTGCTGGATGTGATGCTTTCCTGTAATCCCAGCATTTGGAAGGTGGAAGCAAGATGATTGAGAGTACAAGGTCAGCCTGGGCTACGTGGGACCCTGTCTCCAAACCAGACTGAAACAAATACTTGTTGTGGAAAGCTAGAGAAGAGTTTCCTAGTTCATCTTTGGACTTAGCAGAAGGTTGACGAATTTAGACAGGAGTGTCACAGTGTAGCAGGCAGAAGCCCAGTTAAAGCCCTGAGGCAGGAACAAGAGCTCCTTGTTTTCTGAACACCACAGCGCTGTGGGATGAGTGGTGGAGCCAGGGGCCACCTTAAAGATAGTACCCTTTGGTTCTAGAGCAACAGGGGAGCAGTTGAAAGGCTTGCTTAGATGATTAGCTTGAGTTAGTTTCTGCTTACCAGGTTGACTGGCTACCATTGGAGAATGCTATGTTGGTCATTTGCGTGATACAGAAACCTTGGACTCTTCAATTGCAAAGGAATACAGATGACTCACTAGTTTAACCAGTCACAGTGATTGTTACGTGTCGAGAAAAGTTTATTGTTCTTAGTCCATGTATTCTTGAAACATTTCCCCACACCCTTAAAAATGTGCCTTATAACCTAAAACTTTTATGATACACTCATGATTACCTAAAATCAGATGCTTGCTATGTTCTAATTGTTCCTTTTGCCTCGACAGAGACTGGTCATTTGTTCTTTTTCTTTCTTTCTTTTGTTTTCTTATTAAAGGAGCTTTTATTTATTTATTTATTTATTTATTTATTTATTTATTTTTGACACAGGGTTTCTCTGTTT